TTATTTTTCGCCAATATTTAATGAAAGTTTCAATTTTACTTGAAATTTATGGACCATATTACTGATAAGGCCTACCATCGATTTTTGTTGACTGTATACAAGGACGAACATGCCTAAATCGTCCTAGAATTGTACTCAGATGTTATTTTTTTGTTGGAAACGATTTTTTGTGAGTAACAAACGGAATAAAAATAATGTACCCTGCATACAATGGTGGAGTTTTGTTGAGTGATTGAGAGAACGATTATGCTATAAGTGTTCGAAAAGGCTATTATTATTGTGGAAAATTCAATATTTTATGATTTGTGAGTTGTGGTATATCCGCTAGATTCTTTGGATTTGTCCTACAGGCACAATTTTCTAATTCAGAATATAATATAGAAAAAGACCAAGCATAATTTATAATTTTTTTTTATCAAATTTGCAAAAAATAAAATAAAACCAGTAAGGAAAGTAGTAAAGTCGGACGGGGCCGACTATATGATACCCTTCACCCCTTTGGGTATATTCAACAGATGAATCCTAACAGACCCATTTTTAAAGGACCATTAAAATGAAATTGGACCCATAAACATGTCATTCTGCAACCGATACTAAATTTTTCATTTGGTCAGATATAGAAGCTATATCTAAATCTGAACCGATTTTCAGGAAACTTAACACACATCATTCTAGACCTAATTCATTACGCTGTGCCAAATTTCGTGCAAATCGAAAGATATATAGGGACTTTGGTGCACCATTTACATTTAATAGGACGAACATATATATGGTAGCTATATCTAAATCTGAACCGATTTTCAGGAAACTTAACACATATCATAATATACCTAATTCATTATGCTGTGCCAAATTTCGTGCAAATCGAAAGATATATAGGGACTTTGGTACCCCATTTACCTTAAATCGGACGAAACTATATATGGAAGCTATATCTAAATCTGAACCGATTTTCTCGAAACTTGGCATACATCATTATGGACCTAATTCAGTACTCTGTGCCAAATTTCATGCATATCGAAAGATATAGAGGGACTTTGGTGCCCCATTTACCTTAAATCGGTCGAAAATATATATGGGAGCTATATCTAAATCTGAACCGATTTCAATAGGGTTCGTCCTTGGGCCAAATAAGTGACTTGTGCCAAATTTCATCCAATTCGTATTATAAATGCGACCTGTACTTTGTTTACAATTTAACATCTACAGACGGACGGACATGCATAAATCGACTCAGAAAGTGATTCTTGTGAGTTGTGGTGTATCCGCTAGATTCTTTGGATTTGTCCTACAGGCACAATTTTCTAATTCAGAATATAATATAGAAAAAGACCAAGCATAATTTATAAATTTTTTTTTATCAAATTTGCAAAAAATAAAATAAAACCAGTAAGGAAAGTAGTAAAGTCGGACGGGGCCGACTATATGATACCCTTCACCCCTTTGGGTATATTCAACAGATGAATCCTAACAGACCCATTTTTAAAGGACCATTAAAATGAAATTGGACCCATAAACATGTCATTCTGCAACCGATACTAAATTTTTCATTTGGTCAGATATAGAAGCTATATCTAAATCTGAACCGATTTTCAGGAAACTTAACACACATCATTCTAGACCTAATTCATTACGCTGTGCCAAATTTCGTGCAAATCGAAAGATATATAGGGACTTTGGTGCACCATTTACATTTAATAGGATGAAAATATATATGGTAGCTATATCTAAATCTGAACCGATTTTCAGGAAACTTAACACATATCATAATATACCTAATTCATTATGCTGTGCCAAATTTCGTGCAAATCGAAAGATATATAGGGACTTTGGTACCCCATTTACCTTAAATCGGACGAAACTATATATGGAAGCTATATCTAAATCTGAACCGATTTTCTCGAAACTTGGCATACATCATTATGGACCTAATTCAGTACTCTGTGCCAAATTTCATGCATATCGAAAGATATAGAGGGACTTTGGTGCCCCATTTACCTTAAATCGGTCGAAAATATATATGGGAGCTATATCTAAATCTGAACCGATTTCAATAGGGTTCGTCCTTGGGCCAAATAAGTGACTTGTGCCAAATTTCATCCAATTCGTATTATAAATGCGACCTGTACTTTGTTTACAATTTAACATCTACAGACGGACGGACATGCATAAATCGACTCAGAAAGTGATTCTCAAAAGGCAGTGTGGTGAAGGGTATAAAAAGTAGAGTATATACTAAGTTTGTCATTATATATTATTGACCAGAATAAAATTCAATGTCGATGTTTGCAAGTCTGTCTATTTGTCTGCAGTTTGTCCGTCAGTTAAAATCAATTAAAGTAGAACTTTGAAAATGTTCACATACATAGTATTTTGAGAAATGGAGAAACCAAACACATTGGCTATAATTTTTGTGTTGTGAATACTTTGTCTACTTTTGCGGATAGACCCCATATAATGGTACCACCCCCCATTATTCGGTATTTTGGAGAGATTGGGCAACAGCCACCCTCATCGTTTCTTCAACATTTTTAAACAATCAAAATATTTTAAATTCATTTGCAATTTATGTGGCATGTATGACTTTGCGTATGATTAATGGGTCTAGTGTTCCACAATAATTATACGCCACGTAACCAATTCATAATTTCTGATATTTTTATACCCTTCACTACACTGAGGTATAAGGTATTATGTCTTTGTGCATGCATGTTCGTCCGTCTGTCTACGTTAAATTTTAAACAAAGAACAGGTCGCATTTGTGATCCGAATTGGATGAAATTTGGCACAGCTCATTTATTTGGCCCAAAGACGAACCCTATTGAAATTGGAAAATTCGGTTCAGATTTAGATATAACTCCCATATATAGTTTCGTCTGATTTTCAGCGAATGGTGCACCAAAGCTCCGAATTATGTTCTCATATATAGTTTCATTCGATTTTCTTTTAGTAGTTCACCAAAGTACCAAAATATGTCCGAATTCACAAAATTTTGAACAACGTTGTGAAGCTAGGATAGCCTAAAGTGTGCCAAGCTTTAGATATAGCTACTATATATAGTTTTCTTAATGGTCCACCACAACTACAAAATATGGCAGATTGCTACAAAATATTGCACATCTTACTGAAGTTCGTATAGTCTAACGTGTGTCTAGTTTTGTTGAAAACGGTTTACATTTAGATATAGCTCCCGTATATATTTCCGTCCGAGTTTAGGTATATGGTACACCAAATGTGTACCATGTGAAATCGAAAAACGACAAATAAACGTAGAACTAGTGAACGGAGCTGTATAGTAATACGGTGCCAACCTTATGATACCCTACACAACTACCACGGAACATTAATTTTCTGGGATTTTTATTCCGATGCTGGGCAAAAATTCGCTATAGTTGCATTCTTTTGACTGATTGGATCATCTTTCTTACCCAGACATGTTGGTTTCCCGAGGGAACATTTACACCGTAAGATGCAAATTTGGTTATTTTATTGAAGGTGATTATCGAAACAAACATTGAAATTAGTTGGCTAGTTCAGCTTATTTTTGTGACCTCTTCGTCGAATAGAAAAACGGGCAAAAGTACAGTTTTCTGTCCTGTCATATCATCACCTGATCATCGCCGAAAGTTATAAGTGTCCCCCTTGACCACAACCGGAACTTCATCTAAAATTTCAAAGCGATATACGCGTCAATTCCACCCTCTTTTATGGCAATGGTGATACTTAATAGGTAAACCCTTGTAAATATTTACGTATAACTTCCACATCCGAGTACATATACCCAAATAATTGGTATTAATTTTAAAATGAACCACTCCTCCTACATATACTACTAACCTCCCCGGTCTATGTCCTAAAGGAGTATTGCAAATTTAGCTATATTTCACATAAAAGTCGGGGTTCATTTGACCCGCTAAACATTGACCGATCATCATGAAACCAGCCATAGTTATTCGTTGGTCAGATCCCATTCTCCGCGTAAAATTTCGCGATGTTCGAATCATAGTTGTGGCCTCTAGACCGAAAAACAGAAAAAAATAAAGTTTTTGGGCCAAAGCAAAATTTGGTGACGATTGGTCCATAACTGTGGCCCTAGTCGAGATATGACGATCGGTGTTCTAAAATGTTATTAATTAATTTCGAGAAAAATATTGACCATTTTTTGGGAGAGATACCACAAGGAGTGGAACGATGGGCCCCATCTTCGAAATTATGATATTGAATGTTTAAATCGACTCCAAATTGTCTGAAACTGATTTGCTTTAAAGAAACATGCGGTTTAAACCCAATATTTCGATAAGACTCATTTTTGTCGTAACGTAGTGTTGTTACCCTCATTAGCCATAAAGCTGAAGGTATAAACATTGAACTACCCTGAAAAATTTATGTTAACCAGTTTTTTTCTGACCAGGAATACGTTATAGCTAATTAAAGACAATTCACAATTTTCTGAAAAAATATTCGTCACCCCCAGAACCTAGATCGCCGAATTACTGCTACATGAGGCGATAGCTTTATATATGGGTGCTATTTCACAACCTGGGTTTGTATCGAAACTTTACTAAAAAATATTGCTTGCTCCCAAAGAACCTTGTATACCAAATGACATCCCTTTGGTAGGAAAATGCTACTATAATATACAAAATACAGAAAATTATGCGGGACATAATATGTAGGCTATGTCCAGAGCAATTTCAATATCTGCTCATAAAAGTATAAATATGAAAAATAGTTTTCAAGTTTAAAGTTTGAGAAGCACTTCTGCTGTCGCTTGATGCTGACTCACAAAATCTACTATATCTTCAAGAGCAATGAATAATGAAATACTTTAATAATAAAAAATCATTAAACAAATACGTATGCATTTCAACCATAAATTAGTTTTTGTTGTTTTTCTATATCACTTCCATTTAATTACTTGAATGTATTGTTATTTTTATTTCAAATTTTAATTCCATATACTAATTTTCTATATTTTTCCTTCTTTATTATTATTTCAGTTGGCCAATGAAGGTGTACCACCACTACCATTGCAGGGAAAAAATTTCCAAAGAGCCAGAAATTAAATTCACAGAAAATAATCAAGTAAATTTCATCAAGTAGAGGAACAACAAGAACAACCTTTCTCCACCTACAACATTCTCATCATCATCAGCTATAAGAAGTACTACTACTACTACCACATTTCAACACAATATTGATGATTGACCAAGCGGAAGTCATTCGCACAAAAAACGAACAACGACAATAACGATGAAATTTATATATTTTAAGAGGAACAACAACAAAAAATGAAAAACACAAATGGCGCAGAGAAGAGGAAATGTTGCTTTAGAAAAAAATATAATTTAAAGAAAATAATATCATTAGAAAAACAACAACAACGACATTATTTTTTATATAAGTATGATTTGATCGAGGAAGTAAACATAACATCTTCTGATATAAAGCTATCACTTTTTTTTGTTCTACGCTGTGGTTACTGTTGTCCTCCAGACACACAAACACACACACACACTTTCCTTTAACACTCATACACACACACAATTTTATCTCCATGATTTTTTTAAAGAGATAAACATCAAAATCACAATGTCATTTGCATAAATCACATTTACATTTTTTGTGGATGTTGTTGTTGTTATTTTCTGCTTGTCCAAACACCCTAACTACGAAACGGGCCAGCCACCAACCACTCATTCACCCCAGTGTCGTGTAATGAAGATGAGAAAAGAAATGCAAGAAATTGTTGGCATTTTTTTACAAAAGGACATTATGGCGCAATTAGTTTTGACCGCTTGACTGACTTACAACACCATCACCCCGACAATCTCCAACCATCATCGCCACTATAAGCAGCACTCAAACATTTAACTACTTTGAAAGTATTCATGTAAATAAAATTCCATGACAGAAACCAGATTTTCTTAAGAAGGATTTCATAGATGTAGAAAAGGAAGAACGAGACGAAAACACATTCGGCAGCAAAACTTGTGACCAAGTTATTTTTTGAGGTGATAAAAATCAACATAATATCATTATAAAGCAAAGTCTTAAAATTATAATCATCATCATCCTTAGATGCGGCATCATTATCATCATCTGCAAACAACACACCATCATCACAACAGTGTGGCATTTAAAGTACGAAATCATCTCCGGAACTTTCATCATTTCATTATATAATATTGCCATATTTTTAACATCTGTTGTTTTGCCGCAGAAATCCTTCTTTAAAAATATTCAGTCAATTCTATGCCGTCAGCAAAATAATCGTCATCATCATGGTCGCCGTAGTCTAACAAACACTTTTTCTAGCCACATTGTCCTTCTTCTTCTCTGCGTCTTCATAATTTTTAAGAGCGGTTTGTATATCAGCTACTTCATAACAGTGGTAGCGACAGCAATATGTAGTAGCAGAAACAGCAACAACAACAACATCTTCCAGTTAACAAACCGGAAAAAATATATTCCCATTATCCTTAAGCTCTGAGAAGAACAACATTGTTTAAAGACAATAGAAGCACTAACAACAACAATTACAGTTTAAACGTAGTTTTTAAAACAAATCTGTATTTTATTTTGTATGAAAATCAAAAAAAATTAATAAGGATCTAGATTTAAAAATAAAAAAAACATGTTTTTTATTTAAAAATTGTATTCTGGGGAATCAAAAAAATTAAACAGGCAAATGAAGCGCCTAAAAGTATGATTTAGTTTTGAAACCTCTAACAATGAATTCCAGTTAGGAAGGGTAACACTGGCAAAAACATCCGGATAGCGCCATCTATTGAAATGCATGATTGGAAATCCCACATCAAAAAATTGCCAGGGCTGGGAAGTCCCGAAAACGTCATGTCGTTAATTTTCAAAAAATCGGTGTTTTGTGGAATTTAAAGCTGTTTTTGGCAAAAATAAAAGCGAATCATACTCTGGAGATTATGAGGGAAATGTAGAAAAGTAAATTGGGTTATTATTTTAATGTATTTCTTCGTAATTAATACATAAAGATCGCAGTGAAACAAACGTTGGGTATTCGATGCACAATATCATAAAATCGAAGGAAAAGGAGGTATATTCAGATCTAAGAGGATTTAAAAGGAATTTTATACATTTCTTTGTAGATCCATTTCAATAGAAAAAACGTAGGGTTTTTTGTACACCATTTAAATAAAATCGATATGAGAGCTATACCAACATCTAAACCGATTTCAACGAAGCTTAGCGAACGTTATACTGGCCCCATGACAATATACTGTCGAACCTTGGCTGTTTGGTGCACTATTTTCTTTGAATCGGATATGGATGCTCATAAAAACTGAACCGATTGAAAAAAACTTTACGCACGTTATAAAATTTATAAAATTTCTCGTAAATTTAACAAACGTAGGTCATTGCACATAATGGGACGTAAATATATATGGGAGCTATATCAACATCTGAGTACATTTTAACGAACACGTTATACACATTTTTCTAGGTCCAAATCAATAGATTGTGAAAAATTTCATCTAAATCTGTCGAACCTTGGCGATTGGTGCTATATAAAAATCAACCGATTTCCAAGAAACTTAGCACACGATATTCTAGACCGAAATCAATACCCTGTGCAAAATTTCGTCTAAATCGGTCGAACTTTGGCAGTTGGGTGCACTATTTTCCTTAAATCGGACGAAAATGTATATGGAAACTATATGCAATTCTGAGCCGATTTCAAAACAACTTAGCACACGTCATTAAAGGCCCAATTCCATAAGCAATGCTAATTTTCGCGTAAATCGAACATTGGTGTGCAGTTTTCATTAAATCGGAGGAAAATATATATGGGATCCATATGCAAATCTGAACCGATTTCAACCAACCTTAACACACTCCAATCTAGGACCAATGCAATACGCCTTGCTAAATTTCGTCTTATTCAGACAAACTTTGAAAGATTGGTGCATCATTTGGATAAAATCGGACGGAAATAGATAAGGGAGCTATATCCAAAACTGAACCAATTTCAAAAAAAAAACTTAACGCTCGTCATTCTAGGCCCAATTCAATATGCAATGCAAAATTTCGTCTCAATCAGATAAAGCTTGGGTGTTCGGTGCACCATTTTCATCAAATCCGACGAAAATATATATATATATATATTTATTTATATCTATATCTGAATCGATTTCGACACGCCACTCCAGCTGAAATACGATAAGCTATGGAAAATTTCGTCTAAAATGGACAAACCGTGGGAGGCAAGGACTTACTCGAATTGTCCGATTTCTATGCAAACCTATTTCCATTTATATATATGTATATAGGTCCAAATTGAAGTATATGAAAGGTCCTAGTTGCTTTTTACGTCTAAATGCTCATAATTTGTCATTCATCTTCAAAAGTAACATATTTAGGAAATTTGAACAAAACTTCAAAACAACAGGCTATAATTTGATATTTTTGTTTGTTATGCCCTTTATTTCAAGCTCATCTATAAGCTATGGATGTCTATAGATGTTCAACAACACTTCATAGGCATTACATATGAAAATTTATACGAAAACACCGTTTTTACTTTCAAGTTACCCTGTTGAAAATGGGAATTTTTTATAAATTCAAAAAATGGTTTTGCCCAAATGGGTAGTGTGAATCAATAGATGGCGCGAAAATCATGTTTTTGCCAGTGTTACCCTTTTCAATGTAATATTTCAAATTAATCATTTCAAAGCATGCTTTTAGGCGAAAAGTAAATTAAATTGGCTGTTATAATTATTTTCAATGGAAATAAAAAAACAATTATTTTTCGTTTTTAATTAGTATTTCTTTATAAAAAAGATATTTATATATATTATAATATGTAAATTATAAAAAGGGTGTAAATACTGTTGTATTCCGCATATTTAATTCGAATTTTGTCGCATCTGGAATCAAATCTGAAACGAAAAGATATAAAATGTATATTAATCAAGGTTTAAAAATATATTACTAATTAGAGATTATTTTTTTATGAAAAGAAAATGTTGTACTTTGACTGTTTATTAGAAAAAACGGTCAGGTTCGTACTGGTGTAATGTACAGGCCACAGTTATGAACCAAGTCCGTTTCTGGAAAAGAAGACACATTGTTTTTGATAATGATCAGTTAATATTTAAATAAAATGTACCATAGAAGGAGATCTGGGCAACGAGGAAACATGACTTTTGAGGATAATCGTTCAATGTTTAGCCGGTCATATGGATCAAAAGATTCGTGCGGAAATCGATGAAAATTGTTTGTTATAGAATATATGAAAAGTATGAATGTGGATTGGTTGACTTTTAATCTGATTTAATTTGTAGTTGTTTACCATTCCCTTAACTCCCCCTGGAGTAGTCCCAATACAATTAATCAAAATTATTATACCCTTCACCACACTGTGGTACAGCGTATTATGTCTTTGTGCAAATGTTTGTAACAGGCAAAAGGAATCGAGAAAGACCCATGGTTCCTTTTGAGAATATGCATAGAATAACATTCTGAGTCGATTTACGTATGTCCGTCCGTCCATTTATTTTTGTGAACAAAGTATAGGTCACATTTATTATCTGATTTGAATGAAATTTGGCACAGTTCACTTATTTGGCGCAGGAACGAACCCGTCTGATTTTAGTTAAATGATGCACCATACTCCCAATATTTGTCTGATTGAGGCAACATTTTGCACAGCGCGCTCGATCAGGTCCATACTTATGTATGCAAAGTTCTGTTAAAATCGGTTCAGATTTATATACAGTTTCGTCCGATTTTTTGTGAATGATGCACCAAACTCCCAATATTTGCCCGATTAAAACAAAATTTTGCACAGAGTACTAAATTAGGTTCAGATTGATGTCTGCGAAGTTTTGTTAAAATCAGTCCAGATTTAGATATACCTCCACATATATAGTTTCGTCCGATTTTTTTGTGAATGATACACCAAACTCCCAATATTTATCCGATTGGGACAAAACTTTGCACAGAGTACTGAATTTAGTCCAGAGTGATATCTGCGAAGTTTTGTTAAAATCGGTTCAGATTTAGATATAGCTCACATTCATAGTTTCGACCGATTTTATGC